GGACTCAGTAATCAACCTATGTCTCTCCACCTACATAGATTACTTCTTAGAATTTTAACCCTCTCCCACCATGCTACTGTGTGGTTGTGTTAGTGCATGCAGTGCGATGTGGTGCTGAGTTGTTTCCCAAATTACTTATCTTCTCGGGGTTGACCATTCTAATCTTAGCTAAATTCTTATTTTCCGACAATCTGACTACCCCTGACCTACTAGTTTGACCTATGTAATTGACTTAACTCATAGTCATTGCAAGGTATTTTGTTAATTATATTGTTTTGTTTAATTGGGTTCACTAGTTCTTTCAGCCTACAGAGCTTTTCTCTGAGTGAGTTTGTAGGTTTGAATGCCACTCTAATTCCTGCTTTAATGAGAATCCTACATAGGCCCTCAGACGTCCCCTCCTTATATGGTATAACTGTAGATGCCTTATATTCTCTCTTATTTATGTTATCATTATTAGTTTCACAATTATTTTTATTTGGCTTTTGGCCTTTTCTGATCTTCCTAATGAATTTCATAGGATAGTTAGTTATTTAACACCAACGCTTCTTCTGTCTGTTTCATTTCATCATATAGGTCATTTTGTGCTACTTAGTGCTACTGCTCGGTTTTTTAGACACTTAACTAAGCCTGCCTTAACAGTTAAAGGATGAGATGAATTAAAGTCTAAATATCTATTAGAATGCGTTGGTTTTCTATAAACACTAGTGTGTAGTTTGCCTTTTTCTATTCGTTTAATTTCACAATCTAACATCACAGCTAATTCTCCTTTTTCATCTTCCGATTCAAATGTGAATTTTATTCCCTCCACTAGTGAGTTTATATGTGTGTGTCAAGAAGCTAGAAATATGTTCTGATTTTAACATTGTGAAAGTGTCATCCACATATCTCCGGAATATTTTTGGAGTAGGATTAAATGTATTAAGAGCCATATTTTCCCAGCTGTCCATAAATATGTATGCTACAATGTGGGCAAAATAATATAATTTACAAAATACCTTGCAATGACTGTGATTGAGGTCAACTATATAGGTCAAACTAGTAGGTTGGGGGTTGTCAGATTGTTGCAACACAAGAATTTACTTAAGATAAGAATAGTTGACCCCGAGAAGACAAGTAATTTGGAAAAAATAAATCAGCACTATACTACACTGCATGCATTAACACACAACCACACAATAGCATGGTGGGAGAGGATTAAAATTCTAAGAAGTAATATAGGTATGTGAAGACAAAGAGAGGTTGATTACTGAATCCTTGTTCATAGAGTCTACACCCGACACACTCAATAGGAATGACTCATCCCTCATACCGGAAATATGGAAAATACTACTATCAATCAAATTGAGCGATGAAAAAATAATGGAATTATATAAAGGAAGTTAGAAAGTTGTGTGACTGAATACCTTGATATTGGGATTATGAGAAATGATAAATTATGCTCGAGACGTGGTAATCATTGTATATTATTTACTGTATAACACTGTGAGACTTTATCAAAATAAATTTTACCCATATTGGAATTCCCTCTTATTGTTCTTCTGCATACGAAAAAGTGAAGTGAATAACCAAGAGCGGGCGCATTACGCTGAGTAGTTGTATATAACTCACATCGGCCAGTGGTGCTTGCTAGCCAAATCAGTTTCTAAAGGAAACTACTGTGGGAATATTCCACTGCTTCGAACTGTACAAATTTGGCGGAAGGTCTTACCAGTTCGCTTACGCAGTTAGCGAGAAATTAGGTTGTGTTTGAGTTAATTTGGCTTTCTGCGCTCAATCAAACTTACTAGACTGATGGTGAGCTCTGCCTGAAACCATGGAAATAGTCGTACGGCTTTAGGATCTTTTAGATCTAGCTGGCAAGTACTACTGTTTGATGTGAGGAGCATGATGCTACTCATTATTAATTAATAAGTAGTATAAAGTCTTATGCATTTATGCTTGCAATGTTAATTACCACTGATGCTATTAAGCAGATCACATGCTATGGCCTGGACAGTTATGGTTCCCAAAGGAAACTGGCCTGTGAAATTTTCACCTTGAACTATGTAAATAGAAAATTTACTTGAGAATTGTGAGTTTAAATTGTCAAGTGAGAAATTTGCATAAAAGTGTGTCAGTTACCAAGTCGCCACACACACACACACATACACTCACAGAGAGGGAAACTATGCACAAAAAGCGAAAAACGGAATGCTATTAGACTAAAGTGAATAAAATTATGCGTAAGAAAGAGTAGTTAAATGAACATTATTGAGGATTATGAAAGGCTACAAGATTACAATACACACGAGCTGTCACCAACATTCTTCGGTCGGAGATACTTAGTATCCTGAGCATCCTTTTGCCTTACCGAAGCTGTTTACACCTCTTTTATGGGGTTAAACAAGTTTGAAGTTTTAAAAATTATTTAATATCTTCAGTTTTTATGGCTTCAACTTTTCCTTATGCTGTGAATGCGATACAGTAAGATGAACTATATTTATTTACGTTTCCTGGCTTTTAATGTAAAAATTATGATAATAAAAACTTAATTCTGAGCATATTTATGTAGGGTATAGAGTTTTAAGATTAGCTTTAACTACTCCTTACATAGAATGTTCAAGTAAAGCATTGATCTACAGTATATTATTCGAAGGAATATTGTTCTGTCTGGAATATATTGCGACTCCCGATGCATTCGCTCCTTCAGTACAGATAAAGCGATATCCAACGGTTGGAAGCAATCGGCAGGAAGCCTTGGACCTAGGTTTCGCGCTAGTTGGCACTCATCAGCGAGGCGTACCTGGAACCTTCAAGGAATTAAAAATTCAAAGTGATGGTAAGCCACCTAGAATGCTGGCCACACTGCAAACTTGACTGATAGAATTCAGTCTGCACCAAACAAAGGACTAGCACACAAGTATCCAATCAAAGATGAAGTTATACGTTGAAAACCAGTCAAAGATACGCTTGTGTGCACTTTGTTCTGCATGGACGTATATAGCAAGGTTACAACAGGGTGTAACTGAGTAAATCTGACGTCTTATGCTGGGTAGAATATTAGGTAGCCCAATGATTTAAGCAGGTCGCCTTCCCTGAGAATGCAATAAAGTATTTTGATTTAGGTAACTTAAATAGGTGTAAAATAGATTGAATTTCAGCAGTGGAATCACTGGTCGCCTGGAACATCACGTTTAACCTTCAGTCCAGTAAAGTTTGGCGTTAGAGAATATTTCAGTAATTGTTGTTGTCTAGCTTAGAATTTAGGTTATATTATACTGATGGTCTTTGAGTTAGAACTGAAGAGCTATTCAAGAGAAAGACTTAATCTCCGCGCGTACAGACGATATAAGCATCATTTGGAAGAAATTAATAGTTTGTCTTCGAGCTGATACTATAGATGAAAATAAAATAATGACAGATGGATTTGTCGAAAGTGGATGTCCTATGAAGCTGTTGAAGCGGTTTAGCCCTGTTTTTAATTATGGAAAAGTCAAAAGCATTCTGTACTACAAGCCTCAAAATTCCAAAAATGATTGCCTCGTGTCCCGTACTGTATACCGATTTACATGGGTGTGTGTGTATGGATACACATTCATATGGAGGAGTAATCACACCTTGCACGTGAGGTTGTGAGGACAAATACCTGAATGGCTTGAGAAAACACTGAAATCCAAGACCTCGATAAACACCTCATATGTAGTGAAAAACATAAATGATTTGAATCATAAAATTGATATCGAAACGGCTTTCGAAATTATCTGTAATAACATGGACGGACACATACTAAAATATTTTGAGGAAATAGCCACCTGTAAAATTAAATCCTGCGCGCGAGTTACCCTCAGCCTACCTTGGCAATTCTAACCAGATAATATTACCAAAAGCAGCGTTGATTATCATACATACCATTTACAATGACAAATGATCTGCAAACATTATTGGTCCCATATCTTACCATTCCCTCGTGAATTACGCATTACCTTCCCCCACGACGCAACCGGGATTACAGTTGTGAAATATACCTTTATACCAATGGAGAAGTATTAATTTATAACATAACTGATCCTGTCTGTAAAAATAGCTTGCATTTCTTGAAAACACCCGTTTATAAGAAAATACAAACTATCATTATTATTAGTCTACGTTGAGTACAATTCACTTGTGATGTTACGATGAAAATCCTGACAAAAGTATACAAGTGTATCACTTATTTTAAATTATTACCGAATTTGGATATAAATCAAGAATAAGACTCGATGCTGTACACACCAAAGATATATGGGGGAATTACTTCAAGCTTTATTTTTTTCCCAAGTATTTGTAATCCATCCAAAACATACTTGGGTTTCTTTTGTTAATGCGAAGACAATATTTCTATATTTCTTGATGTGCTCCATTGAATGACTAGTTATCATATTGTTCCCATAGACACAATAACTGCAACCTTATAATTTAACCATGAACCAAATTTATGTAATTTAAATAATACTTATCCATGCCTGTACAATTGGTGTGTCCTACACAGGTAGGAAAAAATGTATTTTATTAAATTACTATTATTAAATATGCTTACTAATCGTATATGTAATTCATCATATTGATGATGCCTGTAAACTGGCGTACCTCATGTACAAAATAAGAATATATTATTATACTTCTTGTTCTAGAAGAGACCTTGTTCAAATACTGACATCAAGTAGGAGGCGTTGATTTTCTTCCACTCCTTTGCGTTTTGAGTGAAACGTAAGGCTTTAAGCCTCAAGATTTGAAGTTTAAGCACCAGTGTCAATTCTATGCGGTACGGTTGCAAGCCTGACGCTGAGCCTTTCCTCTCATTTTCTGGCTTACTGCCGGTCGATCGAAGCTCAGGAGTGTGTCGGGGGGGGGGGGGGGGGATCAAACCCGGATTATAATGCTGGTAACTATTTCTCATCAGGATGGATAAAGTGGATTAAATTTGTGTAGAAAAAAACAAAACAGTATTAACACCAAAAATAGCCATCTTTACTGCTCACCACTGTTTCTAATTTTGTATTCCTAATGTAATTAACACTTTGATACGCCGGTGGATTTGATTGACTTTGTATTCTTACTGGCTGACTATTATATTCACTTCCATGGCTTTGTTCTCGATTACTCGAAACCATCCTACTGGTTTGCATTTTTTGCCTGTCATGGTCACGTGGATTTGTAGAAGACATTTGTGATGGTGGTGGGTAGTTTGATGAACTGTTTGGTTTACTTGAAAAATTTATTTCATTTGTACAAGGTTGTAAAAAATTTGAAGGCACAAGACCACGACGACCATCTCTTGTCTCACCGTAATAAAATCCATCGTCATCCATATCACCGAAGACAGTGATTTGTTCACCTGATCTAAATGATAACTCAGCCTGAAATGTCCAGAAAAAACAAATAAACAAACATTTTAAGCATAAATTCAATTTGGTAGTTGTTATGTTGTCTGTGTTCATGACGATACGAAAGTATAATTAGTGCGGAGTGAATTCGAACCCCATCCGGCCAACTTCATTTCGGACGGGGAGATAGTAACATCACACCTACTATGTAGCCCATTGTGCTCTAAATTCCTGTTCCAAGAAACCTAACTACATTAACAAACAAATTTATTGACGCTGTGAGGTAGTTTAGTTAGATTAGCTAAGTTACCTTGAGACTTCTAATTTACACCCTGTAGCAATGTCTCCTTTACAGGTATTAAATTCGTTTGTAACTTATTTATGATGCATACATTTTTGATTGCCTGAGTAATTGGCGAAAACCAACAAGTTGCCAAAAGAGGCGGAGACGACACGAAGTCAGGTGAACACTGAGGAAGACAGAGGTGATGAAAATACACAATCAACAACAACAGCAAGCATCAGTCATCGTCAATCGGAGGAATCTAACCAAAGCTTTCTCCTTCTCCTATTGGACAGTCACAGCATTGTTTCAAGTACACGTCGCGGAACGGATGAGGATGTCAAAGCCAGTCAATATCTGAAGGTGAGACTGACATGTTATAATCGGAAATCAATATGGAAGCCTATTTCACCCTGTACGGTTCAGAATACAGAAGGAATTTCCAGTAAGCTACTACAGAATTTCGTCAACGGTTGCCTTCGCTACATACCGGAATTCTTTTCATTTCTTTGGGTTCCGAGTGAAACTAAGGCCTCCAGACCTGAAGCCTTCAGGTTTCAGTAGCAGTGATTTTGTTCCTTATTACGGAGTGCCATTATTAGTTGCACATGCCGAAACGTCTCTCTTTCGCACACTAATCATCAGCTAGTAAACTAGGCGAGGTAGTCAGTATGAGTCGGCTAGGAATCGAACCCTAGGACAAGCGTGTAGTTGGCCAACTACCGACGCAAATATCAGATAACCAACGGGAAAAGAAAACTAAAAAGTAACTTTAATAGTGGAACCGAAAAACAATGAACAAGTTGCCCTAGGAATATTATTATTGTTCCCTTGGGTTCCAGGTGGAATATAGGGCTTCAACAACACATCTCCACTTTGTCCTGTTTTCTGGGGACCTCTTTTGCTGGCCCCACAATGACCGACAATCTCTCACCTCCTCCTCGTACGATCTCGTCCATGTCATACTTGGACGCCCAACTGGTCGTATCTCATCCGAGTTCCGCTTGAACTACAGACTTGCTCTCGATGTCATTTGACGATCTCATCAGCGTGTGTCCATTCCATCTATACTTTCTTCGACATACTTGTTGAGCCATAGTTTCTTGGTTGGTTCATTCACAGGGGTTCTTTTTCCTCATCCTCTGTGGTCATACGATCTTCAGTAGGGAGCCAGCGATGGTAGCTGCTGATAAAAGACTGCAGCCTGTTTCGAAATGCTTTTCGGGACGCCTGCTCCAAGTTTCTGATCCATCAAGAAGAACTGACCTAACATTGGTTTTGGAAATTCGAATTCTGCAGTTTGTGCTTCGGAGGAGGGAAGACTTCCAAACTGATTCCAGAGTGATGAATATGTCTGCCTTGCCTTTCGGATTTTAGTTTTGATATCGTCATCCGTGCTGACTGCCTGTAGTTGGAACGATGTTGCCTACACAGGTGAAGGAACATAAACCGTCTGTGGAGTCCACATTTTCTAGAGTCTTCTTATCAGTGGTCCAGCGTATTCTTGTCTTCTCGCTCCCCACAGTCTGACGCTTAATCCAGGTCACCAGAATTAGAAATATCATCAAAGATAATATATAGCAGAAAATAGAGGTGGATTGAACACACTCTAAGAAGACTACTGAGTGGCAACAAACACCAGATCATCGAGTGAAGTCCGGGTCAGGAAACGATCATTCGGGCATCCAGTAGTGACATGGAGGCGAACGTGTGAAATGGAAATGAAAGCCTATGGGCAATGGTGGAGTTGGCTAGAAAAGACCGCAGAAAACACAGTCAAGTAGGGATATGTTGCTGAAGTCTATGTTCTACTCCAAACCCAAGGGAACAACAACAATAAAACACGTAGTTGATTGAGCAATCTATCAAATAATATTGGTGGCAATATGTTTAAAATATCTAAGGAGATTTAAGGAAGTGTTTTGGAGAAATCGAAGAAAAACAACTTCTCTGTCTTCCCATTTAAAGTGGATTGACATAAACTCATAAGAATTACACTCGCATCCTTTTAATACTGGTTAAATACTGTCAGTCACTCTACTCATTAGCTTCATATAACGTGTTTGTTGATTATTATTGTCAGAAAATATGTTGAAGACATTTCAAAATTTGACAACAGCTTATATTTTGAAAATTTTCGTCCCCATGGCAACCCTCCTACATCCATATGTTTGTTAACATCTTTGTCATTTACAAGGACAGTGATAGTTCTCAATCACCTTCTCAGCATTAGATTCGTCAACAATTAGGAATGCATCTCAACCGAATCTGATTTAATTTGCAAAATAGACAAATTCAAACACACTGCTCTATTTATTTTCATATAAATTTAGGCAAACTTGATGTATTTGATGCTCGCTAGTGACTTTCTACAGGACAAAGTTTCCTGGAGTTCTAGTATGAAGTCATGACCAGTGAGGTCCATCCAGTCAGGAGTGAGAATGGATTTCTCGCCGATGACATTGGTTGGTGGTCGCGCTAAAAAGAAATCACAAATTAGTAGAAATTAGAATTAATGGGCTGTGCATTTCGGAGTTGGGTATCAATGGCTGAATGGTATACGAGCCAGCTTGCCTTGTAACCGAAGGTCCTGGGTTCGAACCCCGTTTGATGGGTACTGCCGACGAGTCCCAGACTAGGATGAAACAGCTGTCCAGTACTTCCTGCTTGTTTTCTCTTGAAGAGTTATTAAATGCTCCAGAAAATAAGGCAGAAATAATGCCCGAAATACGAGGCTTTTGCCTCTTCTATTTTCCTGAAAAGATTTTGACTTTAAATGTCAAGAGTAATCAATCAGTAGGCGGATGTTCACTTTTCTTTCACGCTTCCTTGGGTGCTGTTGCATCTTTGTGGAATCCAAGTTGCTAAGGTTAAATAGGTTGCCATATTTGCCATCAATAACATTGCTATCATTATTATTCTTTGAAGTTCCGAGTGGAACATAAGGCTTCAGCAGCGCATTGCCACTTCCCCCTGTTCTCTACAGTCTTTTACATCTGGCTCTGCGACTGCCAACACAGGCTGTCTTACCTGCTGACATGGCCTCCTACATATCGCCCTCAAACGAAAGTGCAGTTCGTCTCTATCAATTCGGGTTCCACACGAGGGCATGATGCGAGATATCAGTCACCAGTCTCCTCGGCATATTTGTTGGGAAATAGGTTCATCATTGGTCTGATACCATAGTTTCTTGTTGTTAATCCTTTCTAGACAGTCATTCGATTGTCATTATGGAGTGGAAATGGCAAATATTGGTCAAATTCTGCACAGAACTGTTGGGATTACTTTTCATGGCGCCTAGGCGAAGTCGCTCAACCACATAAGAGAAATGTTTTGAAGTTAGTACTGGCAATTCAAATCTTATTCCGTACGCTAAGTTTGACAGTTTTTACCCTGTGTTCAAAGTAATGAATGTTTATCTTGATTTTCCGATCCTGGTTTCAACGACCTGATCTTTGGCGCTTACATTTGGGAAAGATGCTGCCTGAATTATTGACAGAGTTGACTTAGGATCAAATGGCCAGAAAGTTTCGGGAATGAACCAACCAAGCAATAAGCAGCTGTAGTAGATGTCGAACAAGCCTGGCATCTGTTACCTACCCAACAAATATGCTGAAGAAAATGGAGATCAATCGGAAACTTGCTAAGGATACTGTTGAGCTACATCACGCTACAGGTCCTCGGGTAGAACCTCAGTGGGAAGCAAAGAATTTGACTGTCTAGACGGACATAGAGGAGACCGTGTAGAGAGGAGATGTAAGCCTGTGTTAGCAGTTGTGGAGCAAGCTAAAAGAGACTGCGGTGGGTTCCACCCGGAACACAAGAGAATAGAAACAGTATTATACTATAAAACACGAATAATTAAAAAATCCGCAACTTTCTCATCCTATAAGCGTATTTACTTTAGTAGAACAAAATACAACGTTTCTGCTCTAACATTCTAGTGGATAGGAAGAAAAACGATTTTAGATTAGACAAGATATTGATTGACTGTTTTCATGCCGTATAACAGTCACGCAATCGATAAGAGAAGCAATATGTACATTTATCTCTTTACAAGTACCAACTTACATCAATATCTGCATTTGGACTTAACACGTGCGGATCATAATCATAAATAGCAGTCATAATTCTTGCTTCCTGATCTGGCGGATGTTTCACTTTTTCCAATGGTTTATTCTGTAATGTACCTAGATGGACCAAACATACAAAAAAATACATATGAGCATTGTTCATTCCAGATTATGAAGAAATAATGTATGATAACTCACGTGGTGTATGCATAGAATCGGTGTATTTCGACTGGGCCTGCTGAGATTGAAGATTACGATCCGGTGTCATTTCATCTGGATAGATATCTTTGACTTCAGAATAATTGGGTACTGTTGCGCTTGGATGGAATGTATGCTCATTCATCATGTCCATCTATGGATTCATAGCACAAAGAAAGTAGAATAAAATCAATCAAGGTGAATAATTATTTGTGGCATTATGGTGTGTAATACTTATAAAAGGATAAAAGTAGTATAAATAGTCGTCAGAAAAGAAATTTATATATCACCGGAAGGGCTATTGAGGAGGGGAAAGTAGAAGAAAGTAAGGAAAGCAACATGTATTGAGGAAGAAAACATTTCTAGAACAGAATGAATGATATTATTTACAAATTATTATTCCCTTGAGTTCCTGGTATCACATATGACTTTGACAGCATATCTGCGTTCCGTCTTGTTCTATGCAATTCTCTTAAGCAGGCTCCAGGACTGCTCATAAGCTGTCATCCCTTGCTTATACCATCTCACCGATGTCATCACCGGACTTACGCCTAACATACCTTTCCCTACTCGAGTTCCTTTTGAGGGCCTGGCTAACAGTGTCACTCAGTGGTCTCCTTAGCTTGTGTCCTATCAAGATCCATTTTCGAAAGTAGCTGGTACTTTTCGTTTTTTTCGTTGGCTTCTCCATGTTTACTCTAAGTCCTGTTTTTGCTTGTATATCCTCTAGTTTGTTTGAGATGAAAAATGAAATCACCCTCAAAGTCCAAATCTTCTAGTGTTTTGGTTACAGGGTTTCATCATGAGCTGAGATCAGTTAGAGAACCATTGGAAAACCTGGGAGTACTGGACAGCTGTTTCGTCCTAGTTTGGGACTCTTCGGCAATACGCACCCACCGGGGTTCAAATCTAGGACCTTCTGGTTACAAGGCGAGCTCGTAGACCGTTGGGCCACTGGGACCCGATCCAATGGTCCTTGAATTCTAACTTCTGCCAATTCACGACATAGCGCGACCATTTCGCAGTGTCTTCTTCAATGAGTTACTGCTTCATCTTCAACCTGCTGTACCCTACTGGTCACGGCTTCTCACTAGAATCCCAGGTCACTGGCTGAAAAAGGCTAGTCGCTGGTGCGCATCAGATCAATTTTCAAGCTCGCCTTGTAACCAGAAGGTCCTGGGTTCAAACCCCGTCGGTAAGTGCGTACTGATGAAGAGTCCCAAACTAGTGAGACGAAACAACTGTCTAGTACTCACAGGTTTCCCAGTGGTTCTCTAACTGATGTCAGTTCATGATGAAATCCTCCATACAATCAAACGAAGTCCCTACAAAACCAATATTCGAAAGTTAGGATTTTCTCCGATGTCATCAGTCAACTGAATACATTAAAATGCTTGGTTCGAAATCAGCCCATTTCAAACAGTCGCATTGTACTGGTTGAATTTCCTTACAAGTGGATTCAGTAGGAAGTTCACTGAAATTATCTGAGAATTGGTTATCTATTATGTCCCATTTTAAGGCCCTTCAAAAATACGCCTCCTAGGCTTACAGGTTACAATGCAGGTGTAATATGATTCCATTACTCTCAAGTCTGTGTGGAGGTCAACAGCACTTGTCATAAAGAAGTAAGATCCGCATTTTCAACTCCAGTGTGCTACTTACTATACGGATCAGAGACTTGGCCAGCGCGTCACGAAGGGCAATTCGAACAAACTACAGAACTTCATCAACAATTTTTTTATTTTTATTTTTTTTATTTTTATTTTTTTATTTACAGCTTGATTCCACACCGTATTTTCAGTACAAGTATGGAATTTTCAGTATGGATATCGGTTAGCCCAAATTCAGGCCGACCATAGATATCGGGTGTGCGCCGGCAGGGGATCGAACCCCGGACAATGTGCATGGTCGGCGAGAGTCCTAACCACTGTGCCACCGACGCACAGTGTCTTCGATCAATACTACTCAAGATCAGATGGTAGGCCAGAAAAGATCAGCAACAGGGAGGGATCTCTGGCAATGAACGAATCAACCCAGCAGGAACCGATTGTGCAACAAGTAGGCAGGAAGAAATGGAAGCAGATCAGCGATACTCTGAGTAAACCGCCAAGTAACACCACATGCCAGGTCAATGCTCGAGTGGAACCCGAAAGGGAAGCAGGAAGTTGGTTGTCAGTGTGAGGGTGACATGGAGGAGGTCATTTGAAGAGGAGATGAAAGCATGTGGACAGACGTGGAGCGTTGGCGGAGAACCGAACGCAATGGAGATGTGAGGTTGAAGCCCTATTTTCCTCTAGGAACTAAAGGAAACACTATTAATATTATGATTCAGCGACGCTTAAACTATAATTTCCCTCAAGGTTTGCATCTATTTTTCATTGGTAAGTAAGTAACTATACTCAGATATGTGTTAGCGTGCTGTTTCCGTACATTTCAGATTGAATTTCAGCATATCTTGGTATCTTAGCACAGATGGTTTATCAGGAGATAGTGTTTTCATTCCACTTCCCCTTAATATTCATTCAAGCCAATAGTAATCTTCCAATCCAAAGGCATTGCTCGTTCATCTCACCTAAGAACAGTATTTTTGTGTCATCTTCTACAAGAGAATGACAACTCTGACCAAAAATAGGCATATCCCTCCCTAATTCTCAAACTATTTTGTCACGGATAACAGGTTTTGTTTAACTTAGGCAAACTAGGAAACATCCATCAGTAAGTTGAGTAATGCGAGTAGAGCCTAATAGTTTGTAACATAACGTCAAAACAAAACAAAGCAAGGCAAAACGGGATTCTAGAAATTAGCAGTTTGCTTACTAACACAGAAGTAAAGGATGTTTTTGATGAATAACGCATATAATATATAAGAGTTATGCATTACAGAACAACAACAGGCTGATTGTTGGACGATAGTATTCTTCACGTAGTTGACAACCTTTTTGTTTATTGTTCATTGTTTCATACGATATTTATTATTCGTAAAAAAAATAGATTCATCATTCAAGAGTGAGTGAACACTGTTCATTCGAATTACATTAACTAAGACAATAAGTACTCACTGACGGTCAAGTGATTTTGTGATTTGACTTAATTTCCACACAACACAAAGAAATAATGCTAAGTAATAAAAACCTAATCGTTGAGATACAGACGTCAAGTCAGTTCTTCTTCTGTACGGATCAGAAACTTGGCCAGTGTGTCACAAAGAATATTTCCAACAGGTTGCAGACCTTTATCAACAACTGTCTTCCCTCTATACTGAAGATCAGATGGTCGGAAAGAATCACCAACAAGAAACTATGGGAACAAACAAAACAAGAACGAATCTCTTAACAAATATGCAGGAGAAAGTGGAGATGGATTAGACACTCACTGAGGAGGCCGCTGGGCGATATCGCGCGTCAGGCCATAGCTCGAGTGGAACCCGAAAGGGAAGTGGTGAGTGGGACGTCCAAGGGTGACATGGAGGAGATCGTGTGAACAGGAACTGAAACAGTATGGACTAACATGGATGCAGGTGAAAAGTACATCAGAAGAAAGAAACCAGTGGAGACGTGCAGTTGAAGCCCCTTGTTTCACTAGGAACTCAAGGGAACAATAACAATAATAATAATAATCGTTGAAATAGGAAATCACGAAAAATCCTCATACTTCACTGATGATTTTCATAATTATGGTCGACTCGATTATGTTATAGACCGTTGGGTAGTGGAAAGATGGGCATAAATACGACTGGCAAGAAAACTGTAGAATATCTGGACTTCCGGGGTGATTTACTTCTAATGTGTCTCGCAAACTCAAAGATCTACAGGCGAAAGTCAACAAGTTGGTAGAAGATGCTGGCAGCGAAAACAGGACTTCGGGTGAACATAGAGAAGACAGAGGTGATGAAGACACCTAGCTGGCAACAACACCATAGACGAGAGTGATTTAAAAGAAGGCACTGCATTCATCTATCTAGATGGCATTGTTCCAACAAAAGGCAGAAGGATGGATGAGGATGTGAAAGCGAGTCAGGACTGGAAAAGCAAGATAAACCATTATTTCTGAACTCAGTGTGAAAATGTACTCCACCAAGCAACAAAAACAAGATTCAGATTTTCAAAACTAATGTAAATTGAATCAGTGCTTCTATATGTTTGAGAGATTTGATGCGTTACGGAAATCATTACCAGCAGGGTGCTGTAGACTTTCATCAATATCTGACTTTGTAGTCTTGATAATAGACATTAGATGGCCAGTGGGAAAGGATAAGAAACTCAGAATTCTGGTGGTGAATTATTACCCAACTAACATGCGGGGTGAAATGAAGTGACATCACAAGCTATGCCATTGAGTATAATTGAAGTGAGAAGTAACGGGCTGGATGTCAGAGGGTGACATGAAGACAGACGATGGTGTGTAGGGGAGATAAAATCATGTGGGCAGTCATGAAGCCAAATAAAAGTGGCAGCAGACAACTGAGTGCTTACGTTTCCCAGGGAACTCAAGGAATCAATACCACTAGGTCGAAGCGGTTTCGTTTGAGAGTTTCTAACTAGAGGACGAGTGTGGCGTGTGTTACTGGTAAGATTTCGTAAGTAGTATATTGTGTGGGGTGTCTTTCGCAAGAATACTGAACGACAAAAAGTCAGATTAAGTTGCAAAGAGGAGAAATGAAAGATCCCAGAGAAACAACATGGACAGCATGAAAGGAGGGCAAAGCAAGCACACTGCGAAGAACATCTGTAAATGGAGACTTCAATGCAAGGTTTATGAGTTCTGCTATAGCTATAGATCATTTGACCAAATAAACATTCTGCTTGCAAATACCACTGTGTTCTACTACTAGTGCTACTACTCAATGAATTGAAAGTCAATCTGAACGAAGAATATTCTTTTCAATAATTTCTCTTCAGGTTCTTACAATTATAAAATATAATATTTGTTGTCGTTACAATAAGGCCAGTTATGCGGCAGATACATTTTTAACGTAGAATAACAGATTAGTTATGGGGTGTCAAAATAAATAGTCGTATTTGTGTGACAAACGTGCTAGGCTGAATTCGATTACAAAATAATGTAAAACGGGAGACAATGGTGATTAATCATAATAGATTTGTAGAGTGGGGGTAGGAAAATTGACAAGTGAGTTCAAGGTTATAAAAGGTGTCAGGTGAGTGGCTAGTACAAAGTGGTCTGTGTTAAACAGGAGATAGTAAGACTGCATTGGGAGGTTCATAATGAGATAACGAATATGTGAAATGAAACAGAAGGAGGCATATATTGAGAAAAGAGATAATATCACTAATAATAGGTCCGGATAGTATAAACGAAAAAAAAATTCGATAGTATTGAGAGAATGTTTGCATGAAGGGCATAAATTATGACGAATAATGATAATATTAACAATAATAATAATAATAGTAATAATTATAATAATAAGCAAAGGAAAAAAAAAGCCAAGAGGCTTAAGGGGAAGGAGCACTCTTGGTGAGAAGAAGAATCATCAATCCAAGTTTGGCCACGGTAGGAACAGCGTCTGGACGTGTTCTTTTTGGATACAAAGTTCCGGTTTAGTCGATCTTATTGCAACAGCTTCAGCTATGTGTAGAAGACGTAAGCGAACTGTACGTGATAACGACTTCGGAATTCGGTATATAACCCTGAAAGCTGTGTTGACATCGATATGATGTCCAGTATCGACCAAGTGTGACAGGATTGAGCTTTTTATGCACTTAATTTCCCCTCTGCTGAACCAAGCTGGTATATGTTCTCGAACCCGTAGACGAACCTGCCTAATCGTGCGCCCTATATAACTTGAACCACAGGAACAGTTGAAATGGTATATGCATGAAGAAGAGCTAAGATTAGGTAAAACATCTTTGAGTTGCTGGGTGAACATTGGACATTCTAAGTGAGAACGGATATCCAGAGAAGTTCATTAAAGCAAACATAGGTTACAATAGCCGTAAACATGAACTGACAACGGTGGAGAAAAAGCGTCTGTTTTTACGTCTCCAATTCAAGGGAGATACTCCTGCGGAGATTCTATCGCAACGTTTAACCAGGGCGATCAAGAAAACTTTCTACTCTGCACGTCTGTGTCTATCCTTCAGTAGCCGTCCAATGTTCACCCAGCAACTCAAAGATGTTTTACCTAATCTTAGCTCTTCTTCATGCATATACCATTTCAACTGTTCCTGTGGTTCAAGTTATATAGGGCGCACGATTAGGCAGGTTCGTCTACGGGTTCGAGAACATATACCAGCTTGGTTCAGCAGAGGGGAAATTAAGTGCATAAAAAGCTCAATCCTGTCACACTTGGTCGATACTGGACATCATATCGATGTCAACACAGCTTTCAGGGTTATATACCGAATTCCGAAGTCGTTATCACGTACAGTTCGCTTACGTCTTCTACACATAGCTGAAGCTGTTGCAATAAGATCGACTAAACCGGAACTTTGTATCCAAAAAGAACACGTCCAGACGCTGTTCCTACCGTGGCCAAACTTGGATTGATGATTCTTCTTCTCACCAAGAGTGCTCCTTCCCCTTAAGCCTCTTGGCTTTTTTTTCCTTTGCTTATTATTATAATTATTACTATTATTATTATTATTGTTAATATTATCATTATTCGTCATAATTTATGCCCTTCATGCAAACATTCTCTCAATACTATCGAATTTTTTTTTCGTTTATACTATCCGGACCTATTATTAGTGATATTATCTCTTTTCTCAATATATGCCTCCTTCTGTTTCATTTCACATATTCGTTATCTCATTATGAACCTCCCAATGCAGTCTTACTATCTCCTGTTTAACACAGACCACTTTGTACTAGCCACTCACCTGACACCTTTTATAACCTTGAACTCACTTGTCAATTTTCCTACCCCCACTCTACAAATCTATTATGATTAATCACCATTGTCTCCCGTTTTACATTATTTTGTAATCGAATTCAGCCTAGCACGTTTGTCACACAAATACGACTATTTATTTTGACACCCCATAACTAATCTGTTATTCTACGTTAAAAATGTATCTGCCGCATAACTGGCCTTATTGTAACGACAACAAATATTATATTTTATAATTGTAAGAACCTGAAGAGAAATTATTGAAAAGAATATTCTTCGTTCAGATTGACTTTCAATTCATAATATGGGAATATTCCACACTATCAGATCTCATAGAAATATTAATAACAGGGCAGTATTCGAATATTCAAAGCATACATCAAAATATATATTATTTACACATACTGTACTTACATTCCTTGGCGTAGAATGCGTTTGCGGAATCATACGATCATGTGTTCTACTCATGTAATAGTTCTTACTGGATGAATTTACTTGACCTTGACTTTGGCCTTGTGATGGAACATCCACTGAACGTGTTTTACTCATTTGACCAGGTGGGATAAAACTGGATTCTGTTAGATTTGTACGAGGATCAAGAGAATGGTTGTATTTTTGTACTCTTGATAGATCACCTTCTAATTCTGACACCATATTCGATGGAACTAATCCACGTAGACCGTTACATTCACCTAGGTAGAATCCATCTTCGTCACATTCAGAAAGAATCTACAAAGGAAAAGGGGAAATTGAAGATGATCGGTTTAGCGAAGAGTTATTCATACAACCTATTTGCTTTAAAAAAATGCTTGAAAAGCTTTATCGTTCGAAATTTGCAAACCCACGTGGAGGATTTCACATACATTACAATGCAGTGATCAAAACATCACGGTGATGCTGACAAACAATCAAGTATACGACTTCGTTTCATTGCTTTTGTTACTTTATATCAATTTTAACTTTGCTTTCTTTCAGCTGTGAATGTCTAAATAGTTTGGAAAGGACCGAGTCTCACTTTTATGTAATGTAGTTGTTTTCATGCAATAAAACAAGTTAGCTCAATGATTGGGAAAGATTACTGATTTCTCACCTATGATACCATCTAGGATCCAAACCGCAAACTGCATTTACCCAATGAAAGGTGATTCATTAGATACCACAATCATTAACCAGTTTTTTATAACATGGCTGTTCTCACCACCAACTTTATTGGTTTTCTGGATAGTTGTTTCGTCATAGTCTGTGACTCTTCAGCAATACACATCCACTAGAGGTCGAACACTGGGCGTTTCGGTTACATGGATATGTCGTAGACCATTCATCCACTGGGACTCGATCCAGTGGCCCAAGAATTCCAACTTTTACCAGTTCGTGATTTTAGCGAGTATTTGTTCACACATGAGACCTGATTGACTCCACAGGCCACTTCTTACTAGGACTCCAGGCAAATTTGTCTTGCAGCCAGTCAATAGTTAAGCATCAGATTAATTTTCAAGAGGAGTTAATTTGATGATTATGATTTATGAGCAGGAAACTAATCAGAAATGAATTGTTATTCAGCTGGAAGCGAATTAATTTACCACCGATAGCTAATATCATCGGATAAGCGCGCCTTAATGAGTTTTACTCAAAGTTTATTTTTTTGTTGTTGATGGAATTATAATGACATACGGACATTTGTTGTCAGTTCATGTTACATACTAAATGAAATACTGTTGTTCAATATTTTTTCAAGTGGTTTCATGATTTTCTTTGGTCATTATATGATTTTAAATTTACATATTTAGAGAATAATTCATTATTATACGAGCTTGCCTTGTAACCAGAAGGTCCTGGGTTCGAATCCCGGTGGGTGCGTACCGATGAAGAGTCCCAAACTAGGACGAAACAGCTGTCCAGTACTCCCAGGTTTACCAATGCTTCTCTAACTAATTTCAGCTCATGATGAAAATCCTGTATCCAATCAAATCTCTACAAACCAACACTTGAATAAAATAAAGTATTAGCTCTCATAATTTAAAGTTCTTCGGAAGGATACAGCAGTAGAATTCATCAAAATCATTGGTTTTGTACACTGACAGATTCAGCAAAAGTTGTCAGTCAATAAGAGAGGTATTACACAGCATCGTCGATAAGTTAATTAGTTTAGTTTGCGTTTAGCAGTGTTAGTCTTTGAGCCATTAAAATCATTGTGATTATCAGAGAAGATCATGGAGTTTGTAGATTTTAGAGAAGAGATAGCGTTTGAGTGTGTATGTGTGTATTGAATGGCAAATAGTTTTAGTAAGTCTTTCAATAACACACAATTTTGTATTTTTTTAGCTAGTCCATGCGAAAACTAAGCAAATATTACAATGCTTGCAGGTGTAACTAGTTCTGAAAGTTGGGATTAATCTATTGACGTAGAGTCGGAGTGAAAAGTGAGATTTTACCCAGATATTTATGCAAGTATTTATGCGAAAAATTCTTCCTTAAAGACTACGCTTGCAGAGGACGGTTACCTGAACTGATTAATTGAAAAGAAACGATAAATTTAAGAAATCCAAACTGGTCACTGAATCACATCCAAAGAAAACTGTCTTCATGAATTTGCAATTCAAAGGTGATCAGGCTTCAGATACGCTCGAAAACTGTCTCTCTAAATCAGTCAGGAAGACTCTCTTTGTTTCGAAATTACAAATGACCTTCACCGACGTAAGTTGTTCTCCGTCTCTTTAAAAGTTAAGCTTCCTCGTCTGGCGACCTCCATATACACCTATCAGTTCGTCTCCTCTTGTAGTGCAAGGTACATATTCTGTAGCCAGGGAATGCTTTGCAGATGGGTACAAGAAGATATTCCAACATGGTTTTACAAGAGAGGAAGGAAAGGTATGCGAAGCTTAATATTATAGAACACTTCATCGGCTTCTGTAACCCAACCCACCCTGACGATGATTTTAAGACCATCTATTGAATTCAAACTAACTAACAAGGTGGATTCAGGAAAGGCAAGTCATGTGCTGGTCAAATTGCAACACTACTCGTCGTCTCCATAGAACAAAGCATAGAATGTTCGTTGAACCTGTACCTCAACTTCATCGACTTCGAAAAGGCCTTATATAGACAGCACTGACCGAGAAGTAATTTGGAAATTAATTCAATACTACGGCGTCCCTCAAGTCTTTGTCAACCTCATTCAACAGCTATATGACAATTCCACGTGTTAAGTAATCCACAACGGAAAACTCAGCGAGGCGTTCAAAGTGAATACAGAAGTAAGACAAGGCTGCCTATGATATTCTTGATTGTGGTGCACTGGATTATGCGTCAGACTTTTGGGGCGAGGAATACGCTGGACTACAGATAAGAAGAAATTCCATATTAGTTTGTTTATTTGATATATCACACAGTGAAACAGTATTATTTACTGGATGACGTTTCGAACAAAATTTATTGTTCATAATCATATCAATTATAATCACACGACTTTGACACTTGAGTCGTGTGATTATAATTGATATGATTATGAACAATAAATTTTGTTCGAAACGTCATCCAGTAAATAATACTGTTTCACTGTGTGATATATCAAATAAACAAACTAATATGGAATTACTTACTACCATAGTGCCCAAGTTTTACACATATATTAATACAGATAAGAAGACTCTAGAAAATCTAGATTTTGCGTGTGGATGATATATGTCTAATGTAACACCATCTCGAAGACTTGCAGGAGGAAACCGACAAACTGGCTGAAGAAGCAGGCAACGGAGACAGGACTCCAGGTGAATATAGAGAAGACGGAGGTGATGAAGATAATCAATCAACAGCAACAACAACCATCAACGAAAGAGATGTAAAAGAGGTTACCACCTTCACTTATCTGGCTAGGAAGGATCGTTTCAACTACAGGCAGAATGGACGAAGATTTCAAAGTCAGAATCGGAAAGGCGAGATACGGCTTCATCAGCCTGAAAACAGTTTGGAAATCTTCCACACTCACTATAAGGAACAAGATTCGCATTTTCAACACCGATGTGAAGTCGATTCTTATATACGGGTCACGAACTTGGCGTGTTACAAAAAGTATTTTAAACAGGTTGCAGACCTTCATCAACAGCTGCCTTCACTGGCTCCATACTGAAGATCAAATGGCCAGAACGAATTAGCAAAGAGAAACTACGGGAACAAACCAACAGGTGAGAGCCGGTTGCTCAACAAATATGTAGGAGAAAGTGGACATGGATCAGGCATACAATGAGGAGGCCACCGAATGACACTGCACACCGGGCCCTCCAGTAAAATCCAAGCGGGAAGTGACGAGTGGGTGGTCAGCGCTAGGGTGACATGGAGGAGATCGTTTGAGGAAGAGATGGGAGAGTTTGGTCGGCAGGAAACAGAACAAAGTGTAGATGTGTTGTTGAAGCCCTATGTTCCACTCGGAAAGCAAGGGAATAATAAGAAATATATATTATTTTGTTTATTTAATCTGTGTAACTTGTTGGTATTGTTGTGATTCTCACACTGAACAGTTTCCGGTGTTATATTCCACTTGTCCTATTTATTGTTTCAAATCAATAATTTCTTTACATTGTTAATTTCTATCTTATCTAACTTCGCATAATGTTAGATAGTGAGTGTTTTGATCGTATACTAATCATGTTTATCCTGTTAATTTTACTCCCCTTTCCAACATCTGTACATTCTACGAAGTATGATATTATTTGCCTTATCACTTGATATTTAACTATGATTATAATCACAGACATTTCAATGGCATTTCACATTATTATTTTAAGTATTCATACCTTAACATAAATTTTGAGCGTAAAGCTCAGAACCATCTTTCAATATATATGATGAGTATAAAGCCCATAACCATCTTTCGGGATTTACCGCCAACCCATAATTTCCAGGAAGCGCATTATCACCGTGGCTGAGGCCGGGTTTTCTCAAAATCCATCCACTCTAACATAGCGCTCCAAAGCCGTAAAAGGCGTTTATTCCACCTTCTCGAGCAACTAGGGTCTGCCAGTGACTAGTAGTGTCGTGGGCCGTTCAAAGGACCCTACTCCATGACTTTTATTTATATTTCAAGGGCTGTGGTTTACTTCGGCGAACGATAGGCTATAATTCCACCAGTATTCATGACACCAGTCGTAGCTATATGCCAATGCCACTATCCTGGCAGAACCGAAACCCGCCGCTGCAAGTTTTATTTGTTACGAATATGCCAATGCACAGATGGTTCGTGAGAAGGAATAACGCATGTTGTAGCGGTTTGTCATGATTACTTCCGCCGTTTACCCACGCCTGGTTGAATTTCTTCACTTTAACATTCAGAGCCAGTTCCGAGTTAGCCAATGCGCGCCAAACAAAGGAAGCACAGCCGCTTGACGCAACGCAGAGCAAGTCCGAGCGCGTTGCTAGCCATACAACACTAACAGCTGAAACCGCCCACGATCGATCGCAGTCAGAGTTCAGTAACTCCACAACAATGCGCACCGAAGCACACAAAGCAGCAAAGAAACCAGCATCCATCTGGACCGACACGTATCTGATCTTGGCCTGTCTGACTCGGCCTTCAGAGCCAATCCTCCTCCCGAAGTTACGGATCCAATTTGCCAACATTGTTCAACTGACAGAGGCTGTTCACCTTGGAGACCTGCCGCGGATATGGATATGGCCTGCCACGAAAACTATACTGCCCGGCTCGGATTTTCATGGGCCGACAGGAGCGTTCCGGACACCACAAGAAGGGTGGTGCCTTACGGAGGCTAGCCTTCTAGTCTTAGTTTGGAACTTATCAGCATTACATACCCGCTGGGTTTCAAACTTAGGACCTTCTAGTTGAATCTTTGTTTAAATTTTCCCATGGGACTTAGTTTCTTAAAAACCATACGTCTATGAGTGTACAGCTTGGTAATGAATTCGTTGAAAAGAGTCTCTTCGCTGAATTTTCGTGTCCCTAATGTCACAGTTTTCTTTATTCTTTTTCTTCCCCAGTGGGACATAGGACGTCAAGCTAGAGCTCTGAAGTTTCAGTGGCAGTGGTGTTTTTTTAAAGGGTAGTGTTGTTAGCCTTACTCCTAACCTTCCATCTTTACCTGGTATAGTACCGGCTAAGCAAGGTAAAGAAGTGCACCGGCCGGAAGTCGAACCCCGGGACACTTGCGTGGTTGGTCAGTGTTCTACCACTGAACTACCGACTCACCATGTTACAATATGAATTATTAAATTAATTCAATTATATAACATTAACCAACCTCTAAATCACATTTGATTTCAGTTAATATCTAAATTTCATCCATTTTCATGTCGAATAGTAATCACGCGTCAAACAAAGGATAGTATGGATAATTTATTTGTCTGAAATAATCGTTAATGCTTGTTAATAATATAACAAGAAACATTTAATTTGCCTGAAAATGTTTTTTCATTCCCCAAGTTTCAAGTGGAACATTAAGCATCAAGCTTCTTTGAAATTTCAGTAGCAGTGACGTTGTTTTTATATGATGGAGCGTCTAGCCTGACGCTCAACCTTACCTCCCCTTTGCAGGCTAACTAATCCAGACGTGTTTTAGCACTGCATCGGCCGGGAATCCTGTGCTGACTATGCAGGTGGATGGTAAGCATTCAAACCTTGGACAACCTATTCACGCCGTGTTCTTCCAGTTTCTGTTATTGATGATGCGAAGCAAGCACTTCGCCATGTTAACTTTGAATCAGTACAAGTTGAAGGAATGTCATCTTTCGAACTGCCTTCTACTTACCGAATAGCAGATTGGAAGAGGTCTACAGTGATGATGCGATAACATATTAACCTGTTAGTTGAATTAAAAGGAATAGTATTGTACATCTGTCTTTTGGCTATAGTTTAACAAGAAATAAAATCCTAACTGTTACACTGTTATGCCTCTGTGATTCACGGGTAGGAGGCTTGCCAAACATGCACCTGGTCCGGGGTTCGATTCTCGGTCGAGGCCCTCTTATACCTCTATAAGCCAGTAGTAATCCTGGTAAAGAGGGAAGGCTGGGCGTGAGGCTAGCAATCTTACCATAAAGACTCACAGCTCTAGCTTGATGCCCTATGTTCCACTCGAAACGTAAATAAATGAAAAAGAAATTAATTTATTATACGTCTATTTCTGGTAAAGTAAATAAAACTTTAGGTGTGGATATTGCCAATGCATTATACTGGAAGTGATAATTATGAAATGCAATTGCACCTCAATAAGTAACTAACTAACTCATACCTTAATTAGTTGACCTTCTCTGAATGGTAATTCCTCTTGTACACCGTCAATATTCGGTGACATAGTAGCTGGATCATAATCATACAATGCGACTACAACTTGGATTGGTTTAGATTCACCAGGCATCATTCGAACTGGATAGTCCTCATTAGAATCTAAGGTAATAAATTAATCATTCTTGAATTAACTGGAGAATAGGTTATTGACAATGACAAATGCAGAAAATAAGGTTTGTAAGATTGTGCTAAAATGTTCCATCCCTTCGCTTTCCAAATGGAATGTAGGGCTTTTTGAGTGGGCTTTGAAGTTTCAGTAGTCATGATACTGTTTTTACGGACTGGGGTTGTTAGCCTCACTCCCAGCTTACCCTCTTTACAGGGCTTAGTACAAGCTAAGCGAGGTGTAGGAGTGTGTTGGCGTGGAATCGAACCCAGGCGACTTGCAGGGTTAGTGAGCATTCTTCCACCCAACTTTCTGGTAGGAAAACTGAAAATCTCCTTCCAAATGCCTATGAATAACTTAAATAATGAGAATCGGGGCTTCTGAATGCTTGGATAGATCGCTTTTGGCGATCAGGCACCTATCTAATTATCTGCACCTAATTAAAGGTGGATCAATGTTATTTAAAACCTATTGCCTTCAGCTCATACAACCAACAGAACTTCACGAATCATGTTTGTATAGTTGCAAATGGATATGCAGATAAACCACAACTGATTGTGTCTTCACAATTTCACTGAGTGATTGTAAACATAGAATGAAGACGGATGTTTGACTTTTGTGAAGAGTTATCATAATATTACATTTCTTGAGTGTTAACGAGTTTGACCCACGGATGGATATCAGTTAGAGAACGACTGGAAACCAGCCATGGAGTACTGGACAGTTGTTTCATCAGCCTAACTTGAGAATCACCGGTAGTACACACCCACCAACAGGTTTCGAACCCAGGACCTTCCGGTTACAAAGCATGCCCGCATACCATTCAGTCACTGAGACCCGGGGTTAGAACCCTGTTGGTGGATGCGTCCTTCTGATGATTCATAAACTAGGATGAAACATCTGTCCAGTACTCCCTTACTGGTTTTCAGTGGTTTTCTAGCTGACATCAATCGGTGGTCAAACTCGTAAAAGCAAATTCAATTCTTACAGACCAGCTCTGGAGAATTTCTTGAGTTCTTTAATGCGGTCAATTGCTGCACGGGATGTGAATACAAATTATACTCGGCATTGTTTCTCTTTTCTTAGGTAACTTTTGTTTACAGTTTCTTGTTAATTAAGAATACGTTGACGTATGCATTAAATCAACCCACAGAATGATGACCATAAAGATACACTAAACTGCAAAATCTCTAGAAATATATTTAGAGAAAACTCCAATTAAACGGCGAAGGATTATATTTGACATTATTTCTGATAGGTAGGAGGATTTTTGCGAGCCATTTGGCAGTATCAAGATATGGGGAATTTGTCATATCCCTGATTGGATGCAGTGGCACGTTCTCTTTGTGCACTTTCTGTAGACCAGATAAACGTGGAATCACGGAAACTAAGGGTCGTATTTACTCAAATAATTCAGAGCTGAATTATTTTTTATTATTTGGGCGAAGAAAGATTGTATGGAGGATTTCATCATGAGCTGATATCAGTTAGAGAACCACTAGAAAACCTGGGAGTACTGGACAGCTGTTTCGTTCTAGTTTTGGGAGTCTTCAGCAGTACGCACCCATTGGCGTTCGAAATAAGAATCTTCTAGCTACAAACTGAGCTCGTAGACCATTGAGTCACTGGGTGCAAACTGATAAAGAGTCCCAAACCAGGACGAAACAGCTATCCAGTACTCTCAGGTTTTCTAGTGGTTCTCTAACTGATGTCAGCTCATGATGAAATCCTCCATCCAATCAAACAAAGTCCCTAGAAAACCAATACATCAAAGAAAGATTCTTAAAGATGAGTGGTTCATAATTCTAATAATAAAACACTAAAGGGATTTATGTTCGTCGGTGGCACAGCGGTTAGGATGCTCGCCGACCATGCACAAGTTCCGGGGTTCGATTCCCGGCCGACGCACTCCTTTACCTCGCTAAGCCAGTAATAAAAGCTGGTAAGCAGGAAAGGTTGGGTATGAGGCTAGCAACCCTATCCTGTAAAAATAAAAATAAACACTGCTAGAGAAACTTCAAGCTTCCAGCTTGAAGCCCTATGTTCCACTGGGAACGTGAAGGAATAAAAAAAGGCATTTATACGAATGTCATTTAACAGGCATTATTATTTTTATCAGTATGAGTTGTTACTCAAATAGGATGGTCTCAATTTCGATCACAGATTGATATCAGTTAGAGAACCACTGAAAACCAGGGCGTGCCGATGTCAGTATCTAGCAGTACATATAGGACATTAGGGCTCCAGAGTCACATCCCTGTTGCATTCCGTCTTCTGCAGTCACCTCAATTTGGCTTCACAACTATCTACAAGCTTTCATTTTCTCCTCATGTGATCTTCCCCATCTCACCTTAGGATGTCCAACCCATGACTTCCCTATCTGCTTCCACTCTAGAGTATGGTGTGTGTCTCCTCAGCGTATGCTCAATGCATCTCCATTCCTTCAGTATAACTGTGAACAAATTCAATGGTTTTCACTCGCTTGAGTTGAGACTAATTATTAATTACTATTCTTTTACTTTGTTCATTCACAGTATATTACGTTTCATTATCTGTAACTCAAATAAAATTAATAAAATCATCCTGACTGGTATTTCAATACGCTCATTAAGCGCTTCACTCTAATCTACTAGAAAAAGAAGACTAAAAAGTGTCTGGGTTAAATAAAAATAAGATTTCTTACGTCTTTGCATCAAGTTATATTGTTGTTCATCTTGTGTAAATGGCTTCCCAGACCTTGAATACTGTGATGATAATTGCTGTTGTTGCTGTTGTTGATGTTGTGCTCCAACAGACTGTCTGAGATTACCACTTTTAACTAGCGCAGGATCATATCCTTGATCGCCGCCTAATCGATAACCTTTAGTATTGCCTTGAATTAAAGGTGGTTTATGCTCATGTTGATTATTCGGTAATGATGGCATATTATGATATAGAGATCTTTTTGATCCTGATGCAGCAGTTGCATCAGCTGGGATCATCTGTCGTGAATATGCCGGATCATGATGTAGTGATTGAGGATCATGTGAACCATGTCGTCTCGTGTCCATAAAACGTGATCGAATAGGTCGGATAGGTCCACGTATATTCTGATAAGGAAATTGTGATTGTTGTTGATGTTGATCGGATACTTGAAATTGACGTTCATTATCTGATAAACTGCTATTTCGTGTTATCTCTAAATAATAATAATAAATAATTGGGAGAATACATATATTTGCCTGCACTGTTATAATTACTTATATGATTTATTTGCAAAAATTTAACCTTTCAAGTAAGATCACAAACTGTCATCAGTTGGATAACCAGTGAAAATCATGGAGTACTGGATAGCAATACCGTCTGACTAAAAACCAATCGTGCATCGGTGGCATAGCGGTTAGGATGCTCGTCGACCATGCACATGGGCCGGGGTTCGATCCCCGGCCGACGCACTCCTATACCTCACTAAGCCAGTAATAAGAATGGTAAAGATGGAAGGTTGGCCATGAGGCTAGCAATGCCATCCCGTAAAAATAAACGCCACTATTACAATAACTTCAAGCCTTCTAGCTTGAAGCCCTATGTTCCACTTGGAACGTGAAGGAAAAAAACCCAATCAAATTTCTGCAAACTATGAAGTGAAAATTAATCTAATGCTAACGAGTGACTCACTATAAGACTAAGTTACATGGAAATGAAATCTTATAAAAACAGTGTTTTCTATTTCTGTTATATTTAAGCATACGGTGGTTGATGCATAGGACCACTGCAGGACCACAGATGACTTCTAACCACCACAGGAGTTGGTGGTTCGGTGATAGAATGCTCTCCAACCACCCATGTGGTCCAGGGTTCGATTCCTAGCTGACTCACTCTTCTATTTCGCTTGTGCAGTAGTAAATAAGCCTGGTGAAAAGATAAGGTTGAGTGTGAGACTAGCGACTTGATCCCATAAGAAAACACTGTCACTAACTAGGCTTCAAAGTTCAAACTTAAAGCCCTATATTCCACTCGGAATAGAAAGGAGTGAGACCTTCTACTGGATTTAATGTTACGATGTCTATAGAAAGTGCAATAGTTGAGATCCCAAATCACCATTGGTTTACTGATAAGAATAACCAACTTGATGAAAAAGTTTTAATATAGACAATTAGCAAGTAGACTAATTGATGGTAATACCATTCGAGATAACTTTGGGTTATCAGACTCCCACTGGTGTACTGGGTGATGACTGATTTTCAAATGAAAGTATGAGTAGTTGGATGAATTGAATCGGTGGCCTGTGAATTACCAGTTTGGTGCTATACCAGCTGGGTTGTCTGACCCTACTGCTAGCCAAGCCACCTTGTAGAGTTTCATTTCATCTGCACTCGTCACTTATTATAATAAACAACTACGATAACAGTAATAGTCTGCCCACCTACGGCTATCTCAGATATTCTTACCATAAATTCACAAAACTGCTTGTCTTCCATTTCGGTATGTGATTAGGATTAACGGGAGAAAACGTGGCTTGGAGGTGGTACCACCCTGTTGGGAATATTACACCTGATTCTCAAGTACTGCTTACGATTGGTTTATAGTTAAATAATTTTGTTGTACAACACTTGTTTCGTGCTAGAGAATTCTCTTACCTGTACATCTGCCTAACGGTATTCTTGAGTTAATACTGAGTTTTTGATGTAGTGTTATTGCTAAGTAGTACCAAAGACATAATCGCAAATGGCTTTCTTTTTGCTATTGTCGGGACACTTTGGGAAAGTGCATCACTCAAGGAAGTTTTACTTAGCTATACAGTAAAACGCGAAGATTATTTCCTAGAGTTCAGGTCACAAAAGTCGGTTTTGATAGCTACAGTTCGTTCCAGTCCTGCTGAGTTCGTGATTATAGTCTCTCCTTAGGCCGCCACTCCACTTTTCTTCATTTCATCACATTCCCAGTGGAACATAGGGCTTCAAGCTAGTGGCTTGAAGTTTCTGAAGCAGTGGTGAATATTTTTACAGGATGGCGTTGCTAGCCTCATACCCAACCATTCCTCTCTACCAGGTTTTTATTTCTGGCTTAGCGCGGTAGAGGAGTGCGTCAGTGGCCAAGGATCGAACCCCGGACCATGTGCATGTTCGGTGAGCGTCCTAACTAGTGCACCACCGACGTCACTCAGTGAACTAAGTGAATTATTATTATTTCCTTTAATTCCTAGAGGAACAAAGGGCTTCAGCGGCGCGTCTCCATTACGTTCGGTTCTCTGCTAGAGTCTTCACCTGGCTCCAAGTCTGTCCACACGTTTTCATCTCCTCTTCACATGACCTCCTCCAAGTCACCCTTGCACTGACGACCAACTGGCTGCTTACCTTTCGGGTTCCACTCTAGCAATGGCCTGGTGTGTGATGTCACTTGATGGTTTCCTCAGAGTATGGACAATCCACCTCCATCTCTTCCTGCCTATTTGTTTCACAATCGGTTCCTGCTGTGTTGGTTCGCTCAAAGGCAGAGATCTCTGTTGCTGATCTTTTCTGGCCATCTGATCTTGAATGAATAAGAGTTACTTATTTAGGTTTAGTTCTGAGAGAACATTTTGGCTTTGATATAGTCGTGGAGACACGGAAGCAAACATTCAACAGGCTTAACTGTTCAACAACCTACTCTTGTGACTAGGATGATACCTTAATGAATTTTCGTGTCAAGAATCTGTTTTTCACGCATGTGAATATATAATTAGGCTGTTGCGTAAATACACTATATAAATGTGAATCTAATTGAGGCAGAGTATTGTGACTAAAGCAACTGACATGAAGAAATCCATAACTTAGTATGACAATCGTTAAGTCCAATCAACTGATTATTTAGTTTGACTCATTTATAAATGGGGATAAAAGAGACTCAAACAAACGCTAGTAGTAATACATATTATTGAGAAATACAGGTTAAAAGCTTTGTAGGAATGTCTAATTTGTCGAATCTTTATACTGTCATGGTTGATGAAAGATAACGGACGCAATATTTAGTACAAACTGCAGCATACTAAGGAAAAGATGCATGAAAGAGAATCTAGTCATTATTAGTTGGCAGTTTTAACAATTTAGGTTATAGATTTCTGTTGGAATTTTGATTAATTTCAGTGTAGATTTTGTCAAGTGACTGAATGGTCAACTAACCTAACCTTGTAATCTGAAGGTTACCGGCTTGATCGCTGATTGGTACCCAGTGCTGAGGAGTTCCAAACCAGGAAGAAACAGATGTCCAGTACTCTATTATTTTTAGTGATCTTTAATCGGTGCTGTTTCATGGCGAAATCTACGTTAGAAATTATAAAAATGCTTCAAATGCTGTCAACACTGGCGAAGAATGTGTTAAACACCATAAGTGAAGCAAGGATTCTAGACCATAGGTCTCAAACCCTTTTTTGAGTCACTCAATCTAGCCACAAGAGAATACTTCCATAGTCAAGAAAATGTGGCGTTTTATCAAAATATTTTAATAACAATTTGACCCAAGTTGTATGAGTACCTTGAGATAATTATGAGCAATAATTTGGGCTCGAAACGTCACCAGTGAATATTACTGTATAACAACACTGTGTGATTTTATCAAAATGTAATTTTATCCATAAGTGAGTTATACTCTACCACAGTGTCCAAATTTTATCCTTATATCAATAAAAATTATGCTTTTTAAAATCTCAGCGCAAGTGAAATGTGTAATTCCAACGTTTCGTTCGGCCAACTGGTCTGTACTTCTTCAAGGAAATTAGTCGAAATTAAAGTAACAAAGGTTTATATATACAAAGGATATCCAATCACTTGCATGAACTGTGATCAAAATTTGAAATCGAACTTTTTATATTAAAACCTGTGCTGAAGATGTTGTCTAGAAGGTGGACGACAGAAGCTTTGCAATTCAATCAACCAGTTCAATGGACACAAATAATTCAATTTTAGGCACCAGTTCATGTCAATGTTTACTTCCCAAATAGGGGTCACGAGATAAAACAAGAAAAAAGCCTAACCTTTGAGGAACTCAACAACCAATCACAGCAGACTTAGAGCGTACAAATACAATTTGCAGATATATGGTCTGACCTTTAAAGAAACAGATACAAAGAGATGACAGTATAACTTCCAGTGAGAAGACGACCAATCAGAAGACGCTGTCGCTCTGCTAATAATAACGAATAATAATGAACACAAAAATCTATAAACATCTGTCGATTTCCTCGATAAACGATGTGTTGCCTGGCCCTTATCTTCTGTAGCTACACTTTTGCATCAGATTTCTGGTGATTACGTTCGACTAAGGTTCATGTTCATAGATAACTGAATGTATGTGTAGATGTAGTATACAACGGCGTGCGTGCATGTGTGTATGCGGCAACAATTGCAAACCATAAGAAGATCTAGACAATCGGGAGTTCAGATCAAGTATGATGAATTAGTGATACATATCCATTTTTATTTACAAATCAGGACTTGGCATGTATCAGCTTACATGTCTGTTCAAGCTTATGGAATTCACTCATTTATGTAAAGCTTCTGCAGTCAATCTTTCTTTATACTAACCAAAACCTTTCTGTAGAACCTTATTCCTGTCCAAGTCGACTTTGTGTCCCATTTCTATCGAATGCCGCGCACTCGTCGATCTGTTTTATAGCTTCTTCAAGTCTGCACAGGTCATTGGAACCACCTTAAGACATTGTTTATGCTGTTTCACTCTTATGTTTACGTGTCTGGAAATCTCTTCTATATATGGGGCGTCACAATCCCTACAATTGATCTGTTACACACAATTCCTGTTGGTTGTCTTCTTCTTATATTTTCAACAGAACAAAGTTAACAATCATATTAAGTTGAGTATGTTTCTTTGGAATAAAACGATTGTTCTTTAGATGGTTTTTCCCACTGAATGGTAACATTTTCTCAAAAATAATAAACGTCAGTAATCACTAAACATGCTAGTGTAAGCTAGTCACCATCCACCAGTTAGCCTCTAATTACATGCCCAAACATCGTCGAAGCATCTGCACAACAGGCCGACATGTCAACCTGAGACCGAGCACTTCGGTCCAATCAATCCACGGGAAAATCTAAAATTCAATTAAATAATTAATATGACCCGTTGCACAAGAGGCAGTGGCTCTCGTGGCCCAATTGGTCTAGTGGATAACTCCCTTTAGCGTTTGAAACTATGGACACTGGGTTC